TGTTTGCACGCCACGGCTGTCAATCCATCAGCGCAGGAACTTCCGCGAGCCAGTCGTTTGTCTTGGGAACGAACGGCAAGTTCTCCACCGGATACCAGGGAACGGAAGGCTCGATGACCATCTCTACACAGATGAGCGAGCGTTGAGAGGTCGATGCGGATTCCAAACTCCATGTCAAGTACTGCAGCTGATACATGTTTCGGAGGCAGTCTGTCCGAGCGCTCCGTCCACCCATCAGGACTCGAAATCGGATCCTCTTGGCCTTGATGAGATCCTTGTCGCAGTTGGGTTCCGCTTCTTTAGCCGTGAACACTTTCTCGACAGCGGTAGCGAAGATCCAGAACCGACGCTCCCAAAGTGCGAAGTCGAGGTCTGGTATGGGACCATCACCACGAAAGGGTGCCCACAGGGGCGGATACGGGTTTCCAGTGGAGCTCGCTTGGAGACAGGGGCAAGAGGATCAAACCCTTCCATGCTGAAGAAGAATGGGTCTTCAGGAAGGAGTTGACGGTCAACTCGCCATGGGTGACTTGGGTTCGTGTAGTCGAAGAATGCGTTCAGCGACTCGAGAGTGGCACGGATAGTAACGTCACCTGGAGTGGGATCCGGTAACACAGTGCTCAGGACCTGCTTGAAGCACTTCTTAGGTCTACGGGGAGCCTTCAAACCGCTTGGAGCATCCTCATCGTCATCAGATCCAAATACTAACTGCATCTCGAGCTCATTAGAGGTAAGAGGTCGTGGGAGGCATCAGCCGGTGACGAAGGAGCGCGTGACGGGGGATAATCCACTTTGCTGCGCTGGGAAGCTGCTGGAGGAGTCGGCGAAGCTTGGCGAGTCACCTTCGTGTCCTCGGGTTCCGTCGGAACCGCAGTCACTTCCTCTTCCATGGCCTAGTCACTTCCATCTCTCGTTAAGTCCACGACTGCCGGAGGTTGAACGTCCTTCAAGGGCTCAACCTTGGGAGGAGTAGCAGGAACGGACGTTGGAGATGCGGGAGACTTCGATTGGGGCGGACGACTTGACATCGAATGCGAACGAGACCTCGGGTGACTCGCGGGCGATTTGGCGTGGGCCGCCTAAGGCGAACGCGCGGGCGGCCGAGATGTAGAACCGCGAGAAACCTGGTTGGAGCGTGAACGAACGGAAGCCGGCGAGCGCGAGGCAGTCTTCTGACGCTTGGACTTCGGCTTGTTCTTCCAAGCCTTTGACATGTGAAGACCTCGGTGACTGGGAGTTGGACTTGACGCAGCCGCAGGCGATCTTTTGCCAACATCAGCTGTTGACGCTGCTCTGGTAGCCCGACCAGACGAAACTGGGGTCTTCTCTTCAGATGTATCATCGGAGCTGCCGTCGTTACTTCCATGACGGCTACGCTTGGAAGCACTGCTCTGAACTTGTTGAGCAGTCTTGATCAGAGCCTCAGCAAGGGCGAACGGATCTTCTTGGTCGCCCGCCTTTTGTTGGAATCGCTGAAGAGCGAGGAGCGTGTCTTGGTCAAGGCCGAGTGTTCAAAGGTCGACCTCGGCAGCTCGAAGACCTACAGCGGGAAAGAATGAACGCGAGTTAGTGGACGAGAGATTGGACGGAACATCAAGAACATCAGCTGACCTTGAATGACGAGAGTGGGGTTCATGCCGGCGAAGCTAACGAATCCTTGAAGAGCGCGGTTGGGACGAAGTAACTGTAAATTGCGGTCTGTCGGATCGGCGATGAGCGCAGCAGTGTTAGCATCGACCCAGGTACCCTGCGTGGACTTGAGCAGCAGATCATGTAGCTTGCAAGTGTTCTCAGTGTTCGCACTGACCGTCGTCTTGAAGACCTCGCGCTTCCTCTCAATCTGCTTGCCCAAGGCGTCGATGATGTACTGCCTCTGCTCGGCGTAATCCATGGCGAGCCGAAGTTTCTCTGTCTGAACATCCATCGACTCCTTACTCTTTTTGAGAACGGAACCAATGTGGTCGTTCGCTGGCTTGAGGCGATTGAGGCGATTGATCGCTGCTTGAAGCCCGTTCAATTAAGCCGTCGACTTGTTGAGAAGAGTCTCCATAGACTTAACTCGGAGCTGGAAAGAAACAAGTCCACGCTTGGCAGCTGCACCTTCTTCTCGAGAAATCTCGAGTTGAGCAGTGAGCTCGCCGACTGCATGAGGAAGATTCTGCAACGTGTCGGAGAGAGGTGGAACCACCGCTAGCACTTGGTCGAAGCCGAGCGCGTCATTCAGACGACGCTGGGTGCGAATGTCACCCTGAAGTGGAGGCGAGATGCTGAGCTGGACCTGATACGGCGCCATCAGCGTCAAGTACGGCAAGAGAGCAGTCCTCACGGAGCCTACCGTTGCGTCAGCTGAATCAGCGAGAAGGTCGCGCAGAGAATCCACGGTCAACTCCTCCGAAGTCTCGGCAGGAGCTGGAGAAGAAACGGGAACTAGGGTCGAAGATTGAGTCCCATTATGAAGCGTAGCGGAAGATGCCGCAGCGGTCGGCGCTGCCGGCATTGGCGTTGGTTCAGTTCCTGACGGGGGCTATAGACTCGCTGTAGAAGGAGGCTGTCAAGGCGAACGATCGGTGTCGATCGGACGAGATTCTTGACGAAGAGAGATAGGTGCTGCGCAGCGGGACGAAGATTGGAAGCCAGGATGGTGAGACTTACCTCCAAGCGTGCAGGGTCACGATGTCGGTGTGGAAGAAGTGCGTCATACGCATGGTGTAGAGCGTGGTTGAGAGTGCCGCGCGGACGGGGCTCACGACGAGACATAGTCGCACGGTGAGAACGATTTGGAAATGGATAATGTCACGACTGGCGTGGCTTCCATTGCGAGAGGGGCAGTTGTGGTGTAGCGATTTCTAAGTAATCGCTGAAGTGGCTACATTCAAGTTGCCTAAGCCACAAACGCTC